CCCGGCCCAGAATTATTTTATTTATTTTTTCAGCAGGCAGGTTCAGAATTACTTTAGGGAATAGAAATGTTTATTTGTCTGTTATTGTTACTTTTAATTCCTCACTTACAGCATATGAACTGGGCAGAATTGGCATTCTTGATGATATTCCGTGAAGGCATAGTACTATCCAGAGTGGTTTTTTTTTAAAAAAATTATTTATTAAGCCAGTCAAATGTAGCAATGGGGCGTTGTATACCAACTTTAGTGACACTAATGTTAATAAGTTCTGATAACCCGCTACTATTGGACCAGCCAGAGTGGCCTTTTAATCCAAATGCAAGTTATATTCTCCCTCATACTATTGATTTCATGTTTTAAACTAATACCCTGCTCCTTTAAAAATAGGTCTGTTAAATATTGCCAGGGTCTTTGCTATTTGGTATAATATCGTATTACTTAATGCCTTTGCCTCTGACATTGTCTGAGCGCACCCTTAGCACATAAAAAGCTCACGTCCTGACAGTTATCTCTGTGGGTCACTGCAGGTGGCCAAGGACGTGTCTGTCAGGTTGCACCATGAACTCGAGACGGTGGAGGAGAAGCGCACTAAAGCTGAGGACGAGAATGAAACTCTGCGACAGCAGATGATCGAAGTGGAAATATCCAAACAGGCGCTCCAGAACGAGCTGGAGAGGCTGAAGGAGGTAACCCAGCGATCGCGGGCATCTCCCCTCTGGTTTCACTGTTAGACACTGGGGGCTCCAGGTGTCTCATTCTTACTGTGGGCAAAAGCAGGGGTTGGCAAACCATGGCCTGTTTGTTTGGCTCAGGAGCTAGGGATGGTTTCTCTAGCATGGTAAACAAACAAACCCACACAAAATAAACCCCCCAAAAGCAAAGAAGACTATGAAACAAATACTGTGTGTTGCTTGCAAAGCCTACAATATTTACTCTCTGGCCCTGTACAGAGAAGGCTGGTCGAGCCCTTGTCTAAAGCTATTTTTTGTAATTTCCCCTTCGATGAGCTGACGATTAATTCCTTTGATGTGTCCAAGTGGGGCCTGTTATTACTAGAACACAGAGTTAAACAGGAGCTTTTTTCTCAAGGTCTTCTGTAGTGAGCTGGAAAGCGTGTTGTGGTTGTCTGTCAAAGCTGCGTGAACAGATTATGTATGCATGCTGTTTGTATATATTATGTAGCCAATATGATTTAAATATAGGCATTTTTTTAATTTTAGGGAGTGATTGTTCTAGCAAAGTGGTCTAGAAATGAATGTATACTTTCTTCATTTGCATTCTGCAGTACAAATCCTATTTCATTGTTGACTTCCATTATGAGATTAAAGCTAAGTATTTTCTTGGAAAATATGTTGCACAGTGATGGAATTAAACACCACTGGCGAAGGCTTTGAGATGTGGTTGATGCTGGCACATTACCTGTCCCTGCTGACAGGCTCACTTGGTAGTTGGTTTTTCTTCTGGATAAGTTACCTGATTCACCCATCAATCCCTACCCATCCAGCCGCCCACCCACCACGCTAGCTCAGGCCCTGCGCCCGGGCCTGGGCTGGATCTGTGCACGTGCAGCGCACACCCTGCTCTCGAGGTGCCTGTAGTTCAGTCTGGCCCAGGGACAGCAAAACAGACAAATTGCAGCAAAGTAGCAGGTGCCGTCCTCTCTGGGCCTCCCCCGCCCCCTGCTCACAGCCTCGCTGGCCTCCCTGCCCTCCCGGGTGCTCACACCGCCTGTGGCTCGCTCCCTTCATCCTTTTCAGGTCTTTGCTGAGATTGACTCAGCCCCCCTCCCCTTGGCGCTCGATGGAAGTTGTCCCTGTCTCCACCCTGGCGTCCCCATCCTCCCTCCCACCTGACATGTTGTGTATTTTGGGAAATTACTGGTATATTGTCACCGCTTATCTGACAATGTTCCGTGTTTTCTTTCTCTGTCATTCATCCACCCTCTCCTTCAGTGATGCCGCTCTGGAATGCGAGTCCATGGGACAGGTAGACAGGGGTTTGGGGACAGGGGTTTTGTCTGTCCCGTCCGTTTTAGGGCCCCTGTGCCTGGAACAGGGCCGGCACACACCAGGTGAGGGGTGAGTGAAGGGGGCAGGGCACGGAGCTGTGGTGGTGCCCGGGCTCCGCAGAGGAAGAGGTTAGCTTCTGAGAGCTTGCTGTCATTGGGTGACCCTTGCCCCTTAACCTCCATTTGCATTTGGCCCACGGTGGAGGAATTTGTCCTCTAATTGAGGCTCTCTTGCCTCTGTTCTTACAGTCGCTAGTGCTATGCTCCCCCTTTCCCGGCGGTCTAAGTCTGCTGGAAGGTGTAGTGGTTTCCTTTCTCAGAGTTTCCAGTTTGAGCCTGACCTTGTGGGTATAGAAAACAATTTACAGTTGAGCCTCGAATAACACAGGGCTTAGGGGCACTCACCCTTGTGTGGTAGAAAATCTGAGTATAGCTGGGTGCTGTGGCACATGCCTGTAGTTCCAGCTACTCAGGAGGCTGAGGCAGAAGGATCACTTGAGGCCAGGAGTTCATGACCAGCCTGGGCAACATAGCAAGACCCCATCTCTTAAAAAAATAAAAAAAAAAGAGAAAAGAACGTCCACATGTAAGTTTTGACTCCTCCAAAACTCAACTACCAATAGCCTGCTGCTGACTGGAAGCCTGACTGATAATATAGTGGATTAACACATATTTTGTATGTTGTATGTATTTAATATTATATACTGTATTCTTATAAAAAGGTAAGCTAGAGAAAAGAAAATGTTATTAAGAAAATCATAAGGAAGAGAAAATACATTTATATTCATTAAGTGGAAGTGGATCATCGTAAAGGTCTTCATCCTTGTCATGTTCCTGTTGAGTGGGCTGAGGAGGAGGAGGGAGAGGGGAGGTTGGTCTTGCTGTCTCAGGGGTGGCAGAGGTAGAAGAAAATGCAGTCAAACCCACGTTGTTCAAGGGTCAACTGTAGACGTATATCTTATAAAGTTTTATATGTGTATGTGTTTGTGTGTAAATATATAAATATACATCTAAAATGTATACACATATGTTTTTTACGCAAGCAAAGATTCTTCTGCGTACATCTAAAAGGATTTGTGTAGGACGTGGCATCTGTTTGGAGGAAGTGGTGGTTACTACTGTTCTGGACATTAACAAGCAAGGCCAGGGTAAGGCAAGGTCTTCCAGAGCCCGGGCAGGGCAGGCGAGAGGACGGAAGGTGGAGGGATCAGCCCCTCCCTTTATGGGCCAGAATTCCTCAGAGGAACTGCTCGGTTGGGATGAAACACGTGTTGTACTTCCAGACTTGCAGACTGTGGGACTGCATATTTACACCGAAATTCTAAAATGAATCGTAAAACTGACAGGAGGCTCAGGAGGGTTGGATGCTGGTAGCTTACACTGGAAGCAAAGAGGGACGGAGACTAGTGATGCAGGGTTCAAAGGTGGTGGAGGGGATATTTATTGGAAATGCCAGCTGCTGTCTCTGCAGATGGGTTCTTTTTACAAAAGCCAGAACAGATACCTATGAGTTTTGCTCTAGTGTGAGGACAGTATTTGTCTCTCTTGCCATGCTCTTTGTTGTTCGGCGCTGATGTTGTGTAAATGGGTGCGTGCCTCCTGAAAGAGGCAAGGGCGGTTCACGCGTTGTGTGTCTGGATAACAGGAGTTGTTCCAGATGTGCACATACCCCCTAGGCCCCAGAGGACAGGGAATCACAGTGTCTCTGTGGCTCTGGAGCCGCCTTCTCTTTTAAACTCCTGACTGTTTTCAGCTGCCTGGTGGAGTCTCCAACGTGAGTTTTTCCTGGCACTTCAGGCTCTGTGTCCAGAACAAACTCGTCACCCCTTGCCCCAGCCTGCGCCACCTTCTGTCTTTCCTGTTTGTGTAAAGGTAGCACTGTCCTGTCTTCTCCGTGGCTGATGATGGCAATTATCTTTAACTCTCTTGCTCCCCATCTGCAGTTGCTTGCTAAGTGCTGTAGGTTCTGCTCTTTTGGCAGAAGAGGGCTGGCAGTGTGGGTGACCATGTGCATTGAGGGTATGTGCCATTTCCATTCCTCCCTTTTCTGTTCTCTCCTCTAATTCTGAGTGTGTCCTCTCTGCTTAACCAAACAAGCTTGCCTTGGCCCCTGCTTGTCTAACTCTTTAGCATAACACACAGGACTGTTCCCATGTGGCCCATCCCCATCTGCCTACTGGGTTTTCCACCCTGCGCTGGGGCTGTAAACCCTGGAGTGAAACGGAGGAGCGGTTGGAAGGATGACCAGGGACCATGTCCCCTGGTCCTCTTTGAACTACTAGAGGTGTGTCTTGGGAAAGTCACTTTCTCCCTTGATAAAGAATGCTGACCTGTCTAGAATGTCCCTCTGGCTAGCCAGCTTGCTTGCTGGCTTCCCGTGCCTGTTCACTCCATGGTCCGTGCCCCCAGGTACCACACACCCTCCACATATGCAAAGCTCAAACAATTTTTGCCTTTTTTTTTGGTATATTTCTTCTAGTCCTCAACTCTGTCTATAGTGGAAGCTCTCAAAGGTTGAAAATGGTTAAGCTTAGCTTCGTTCCCACTTCTTAACGATTGTCCAGATTCTTTCACTGAAGAATATTTCATTCTACCTCGATTTTTCTGAGTACCTATTACATACTAGACACAAATAATAACCAGACAGTTTAGCCAGCACCTGCATGGGACAGAGACATGTCGTAGATCACTCTCCTCCCCTCCTGAATAGTACAAGCATCTTGGACAGCTTCAACTCCAGTCAGCTCCTGTCTTTCATATTATTTAGTATCATTTTAGTTTCCTCTGTTAAAACTCATTTCCCCCCAGTTGACTAATTGAATAGTTAGTGCTTATTTAGATTAATTTCCAGGTTGGCCAGTTTATTTACTCACCATTGCTTCTTGCATATGACTCTTTCTTCTCGCTTCTTTTGTAAAGACAATTACTGTTTTATTCACCCATTAAGGTGTATCTTTCATTTCTAGAATTTAAAAAAATTTGCTTCTTTTTCCTGGAATTTGCTTCTTTATCATCTCTATTTCTTCTTTTACGTCTTTAAATGTTTTAAAGTTACGGTCTGTTTCAGGCTGTTCTGTGATCTCAGGTTCTTGGCGTGACCAGTCCTGACGTTTGTCGGGTCTGCTCACGCTCGCTCGCTCACGGGGGGCTTTATCACGAGCTCATCTTGGTGGGCGCCCTGAGGTCTCCTGCGAGGTCCTCCTGGCGAGATGTTTACCTCGGCCCTTCCCAGAGGCCTCAGGCACCCTATCCTCTGGTTTGTGGCAGTGTGGCCATCAGCCTGCACGTGGCACAGGCCTAGGGCATTTTACACGACTGGGGAGATTGTTTCCACCTGTTCTCCCCCATGAGGTGCACGTCCTCGGAAGAGCTGCCTGGGTGCCTGAATCGGAGCCTCTTCTCACGGCCCTGGCTGTGAGGACCTATTTCTGGGTCTGGTGACTCCACCATTCCCCACCCTCAGTCCCTAATACGTATTTTTGTGCTAACTGCTCAGCAATCCCTGTTCATTTCTGCCGCTGGGAAATTTTCCTTTTTCGTTTTTTTATTTGCAAGTTCAGCTGTATGTCAGTTTCTGTTCGTTATCTTTTATGTGGCATTTCTAGCTATGTTGGGAAGGGGGCTCCTGGTGCTCAGTGTGCTGTGCTCCCCAAACTGGACATGACCCTTCGGGGTTCA